AAATGAAATAAGGGACTCCGGTGTATAGAGAGGACCTCACCGTTTAAGACATAACCATAGAAACGATGGAATCCACTATTTCGTTATTCATTTCTATTTATTACTTTTTTCTGTTTTTTGATACCTAGTATCAATACTCGTTTCGAGGTGAAATGCCTATAAAAAAAGACAAATTGTGGTTGGGAAGGTTATAGTAGCAAAAGCCATTGGAATTTGTATTTTATACATTGGAAGGATCCGTTTTGTTATTAATAAACTAGGAAAAGGGAAAAGAATAACTGAAAGAAAGGAAATCAATTAGTTATTCATGAAAGTTTCATTTATTCAATGACTAGAATTAGACGAGGATATATAGCTCGGAGACGTAGAACAAAAATTCGTTTATTTGCATCAAGCTTTCGGGGGGCTCGTTCAAGACTTACTCGAACAATTATTCAACAGAAAATAAGATCTTTGGTTTCGTCTCATCGAGATAGAGATAGGAAAAAGAGAGATTTTCGTCGTTTGTGGATCACTCGGATAAATGCAGTAATTCGCGAGAATAGAGTATCCTATAGTTATAGTAGATTAATACACAATCTGTACAAGAGACAGTTGCTTCTTAATCGTAAAATACTTGCACAAATAGCTATATTAAATAGGAATTGTCTTTATATGATTTCTAATGAGATCATAAAATAAAAAAGGAAATTGTAAGGAAGTCGTCAGAATATTTTAAATGGAGTTCGCTGGAGAATGAACTCCGGGAAGGTAGAGTAGAAATTAGTATGATAAAGAGAATATGATAAAGTCGCTCAAAATTAAATGAGCGAATATGTCCAATATCCAATAAAAAAAGATTTCTTCTTCTTCCCCAATTTTTTTTCTTACAATTTTTCGAACAAAATATCAATCTGTGTTTGAGTTCGGATTTGAATTTGAATTTGGGTTCAATTGAGGAGTAAAGTAAGTCTACTTTTTTTTTTATTTATTTAGGGTTCTAAGACCAGTAGCTCCGGAGGTCGACTCGCTTCTTTCAAATTGTTTCTCATTATTAAGAAAAGGTAACAAAGATAAAATACGAGCTTGTTTTATAGCAATAGTAATTAATCGTTGTTGTTTTAAGGTTAATCTATTTACCCGTCTAGATAATATTTTTCCTTGTTCACTAATAAATCGACTAATTAAACTCATGTTTCTATAATCAATTCGATCCCCCGATTGGATCGGGGGCAAACGCCTACGAAAAGATCGCTTGGATTTAAGAAAGAGTCGCTTGGATTTTTCCATGGTTTGTTTATTCCTTATCCCCAAAATCCTATTTCAATCTGATCCAAAAAGATTTTGAATTCAAAATAAAATATAGGATTTTATTTGGCTTTTTTTTTTAGTTAGTTAAATTATGTTAACTAGAATATATAGAATAATATGGTATATATAGAATATGTCCTTTTCATGTTCCTTGTAAGAGTGACACACAGGCACTTGATTCGAGTTATTTCTTTATCTCCCCGTGAATCGTATGTTTGTAACAATAGGGACAGAATTTTATCAATTCCAATCGACTAGGCGTATTGTGTCGATTCTTTTGAGTAATATATCTGGAAAGACCCCTTGATTCCTTATTAAGACCGTTTCGAACACAGTTGGTACATTCTAAAATAACCGTTACTCGGACATCTTTACCCTTGGCCATGAACCTCCTTTGCGTTTTTGATTCAACCAACTCTTCTACTTTCCGCGAAAAAAGAAATAAAAAAAATAAGAAGTAAAACAACAAACTAATATTTAGGTATATTTTGAATCGAATTCGATTCAATGTACAGTATTTCATTAAAAGATCTTGTATGATCTTCTTGCCCTAGACACATTTCTGTTCTCACAATATTATTTCTAAATGGAATTGGAGACTAAACCCGAATTTTGCCGAGGTTGAATCTACTTTTTTATTTCTCTTTCCTCCTTTCTTTATTTTACTTCTACTTATTATATTGTATTGAATTCTATTTTATCTAAAAAAAAAAAAGAAAAGAGGGGGAGGGATTAGTCACAAATCTTTTGATTCTATCTCTAATCTTCTTCACCCCTTCCCATGTCAATAACTAGAATGAGAAAAAAGGGAATGTCAACGCATCCGGAAATAAACGATTGATCTCTATCAAAAGACCTGCTAAAGCCCCAAACCATAGAGTACTTAGTACCGGTGCCACGGAAAGATATGTTTTTAGATCTCGCATTTTAAATCCTCCTTCTTTATTCTTTTTATTTATTGTATTATTTATTGTAATGCCTAATGGTAATCCATATATGATCCGATATAATATAAACTATGTAAGTAGTTAAGGACCGCTTGTATTTGTACACGGAATTCCTAATTCCAATTGAAATTTACAATGATTCGGTAGATAAGATTTTCCTTTTCTTAAAACCGAAAAAGACGTCCCTTCCGACTGAGCATTCCAAAAAAATATTCTTTTTTTTTTTTAGTTATTTTTTACGATGGGTTTCAGATTCATGTGTATATAAGCCTTCTATTATTATTATATGTTACATGAGAATAAAAAAAAAATGTCAAGATAACTTGGATATATCAATGGAAAAAATAAGGATTTTGAAAACAAGACAGGGATTCTATAAAATGACACTGTAGACCAATTGAAAGGGATGTAGCGCAGCTTGGTAGCGCGTTTGTTTTGGGTACAAAATGTCACGGGTTCAAATCCTGTCATCCCTACCTATTACTTCTCGTCTGAGCAGTAACGAGGGATTCATTGAAATCGATTAAAATCAGGCATACATAATCTTTATTTTATTATATCATATTCTATATGATAGTCTTATGCATACAAGATGTATTCGGGTTAGAAAAAAAATCCTCTTTTTAGTTTTAGCTAGTGTGATAATGATAAGAAGATAAGAAAGCGCTCTTAGTTCAGTTCGGTAGAACGTGGGTCTCCAAAACCCGATGTCGTAGGTTCAAATCCTACAGAGCGTGATTCCAGTCTTGGTTAGGTTAGTCCAAAATTACACTTAAATAATTGAAGAGTAATCTTAATTTGACCTCCTTTGGATTAAAGAAAAGAGGAGGTCAATTAAAAAAAAAGATGTTGATTAATTTAATCAAAGGTCCAACTGATCACCACGTCTGTATTGTAAATATGCAGTTACAAATAATCCAGCTAAAGTAATAGGAATTAGACCTAAGACAATTCCAAATAGAAAAACTTCAATCATTTCAATTTTTTGGAAAGGGAAAAAGGAGAGGTAATATCTATCCCTACATATTAATCCGCATTGCCCATGAATCTCAATGACCACGAATTGGAAATTGATCGGGTAAGGAACTATAGAGTCAGTCTATGAATACCACAGAAATATTTCTTTTTATGCGTTGTGTTCATTCAATTAATTTCAAATAAGTCGTATCTTGGTCAGACCAATAAAGAGAGCTGAGGTTATAGTTAAAGCTGCTAGTAGAAAACCAAAATAACTAGTTATAGTAAGCATGAAGATGAAGGAGCTAAATGAAATGTGTTCTTTTTATACATATGTTTCTAAAGTACTTCCCTAAGTTTCAAGATACGAAGATAAGCAAAAATACCAATTCAAATGAAAGAATAAGTTCAATTGACAGTTGTTAATTCATCAATCATTATAGACGGGATTAACAAAAACATAGAGTAAGGGAGGTAGAAAAAGAGATCAATTAATCATTTAATTTCGAATCAAGGGATTCATTAGACAATTCTTGAGTAGACTAATATTAAAATAAAATAATAAGAAATTTGAATCCATATAGAACAAAATTCGAAAATCATTTCTCTTTTCTTTTGATCTTTTTTTTTAATCGTATCGAATCTATTTTTCGATTTTCGAATAAAGAGTGACCTTATAACAATAACACCTTTTTTTCTTGTCATTTGAGATATTATGTGAATGAACCTACTACTGAATTTAATGAGTAAAAATTTAAATAAATAAAGTAAAAATAAAAAAGGTATCGCACAACTGATCAGATCACTCGAAAATAAAATCTTTATTTTTGTCCAACTAGATTCTAAGACTAGTAATTCCTATAATTTTTCCTTTCTTTTCTAGGTTCTACATTTTTTTCCATATTTATTAGAAATAGAAATTGTCTTTTCATATCATAAATTCCCACTCTCAGAGCTAGTTCCAGAAAGAACCTTTCGATCTAATACAAGAAAACAATGTGTGCATCACGAATATTGATTATTCCAATTCTATTTTTTTTGTTTGTTCTCTTTTTTTTTCAATACTATCTACCCCTTTTACTTGTTACTCTACGAATGAACAATTCTTCTTAAAATGAAAAAAAAAGAGAACAACAAAAAACTTTTCTACAGTTTAAGCTTATAACTCTGAAAAGGAGATTTTTCAATTTCGTATCGAATTGAATTGTGGAAAAAATGGAGAGAAAGAAACCTTATAGAAATTCAAGAAATTGAATATTGAATAATACATGCATGATTCTACATCGACAAGCAACAAGAAAATAATAAAGAAATTATCGAGTACTTCATTTCCATACTCATTAAAATTGCGTTGCTGTGTCAGAATAAGGATAGCTATACTGATTCGGTATACTCGAAAAACACCCTTGGTACAATATTGACGATCTAACAAGGATGGAACTTCAGTGAATTTCCATTTACTGATATCATCTTTTATGGAATCGATCCCCCCTTTAACTGTACAAGAATATGTGGAGCTCAGCATGTCTGGAAGCACAGGAGAACGTTCTTTTGCTGATATTATCACCAGTATTCGATACTGGGTTATTCATAGTATTACTATACCTTCCCTATTCATTGCGGGTTGGTTATTCGTCAGCACGGGTTTAGCTTATGATGTGTTTGGAAGCCCTCGCCCAAACGAATATTTTACAGAGAGCCGACAAGGAATTCCATTAATAACTGGCCGTTTTGACCCTTTGGAACAACTCGATGAATTTAGTAGATCTTTTTAGGAGGACCCAATGACCATAGATCGAACCTATCCAATTTTTACAGTGCGATGGTTAGCTGTTCATGGACTAGCTGTACCTACCGTTTCTTTTTTAGGGTCAATATCAGCAATGCAGTTCATCCAACGATAAACCTAATACAAATTATAGAGCTATGACACAATCAAACCCGAACGAACAAAATGTTGAATTGAATCGTACCAGTCTCTACTGGGGGTTATTACTCATTTTTGTACTTGCTGTTTTATTTTCCAATTATTTCTTCAATTAAGAGAAGAAAAAAGAATAGTAGAATACTAAATAATAATAAGAATTATCTTAACCCATTCGGAAGGATTACATCTCATAATTATCTATGGCTGTTTATGTCTTTAGCATGACAACTTGATGAAAGAAATGGTGGAGGGAAGCGGGATAAATGGCCGATACTACTGGAAGGATTCCTCTTTGGATAATAGGTACTGTAACTGGTATTCTTGTGATCGGTTTAATAGGTATTTTCTTTTATGGTTCATACTCCGGGTTGGGTTCATCTCTGTAATAATCTAATAATAAGATGAACTGAGTTGGAGACATGAAAGCTTAAGAAGGCAAGTGGATCCTTGCCTTCTTAAGCCTTCTTAAGCCTTCTTAAGCTTTCATAATATTTTATTAGTATAAATAAAAAAAATAACTTTTCCCTATTTTGAAAAAAAAACTTCATTTCTTATAATGTTTTTGAAAACTTCATTAATTAATTTAGAGCATCCCTTATTCGCGGATAGTATCTTATCTATCTTTCAAAGTTAGAAGAAAGAAGGAATCGCTCGATTTCATTTTCCTGAATGACACAATTACAATATATATTTCTGTCGATCAGCTATTATGCAAAGCAAATCCTTTTCGAATAGATCCTTATCCTTACTCTACTCTATTTAGTATCTCATCAAAGTTGAATTTTTTCTAAGTCCATTAGAATAAGTTCTATTTTATCAAAAGATTTCCCTCTATTTTTTTTTTGTTTGTTCACTACTTTCTATATGTATACGTAATAAATATAAAAAAAGGGTTCTGATAAACATGGAAAAAATAGAAACTAATAAGGATAGTAATTTTTGACGAACGGGATCAAAAACCGTTTTTATGTAGACACAAGAAAGAAATGTAGAAAATTCCTTTCTTGTGTCAAAGAAAAGACTAAGAAGAAGAAGGCGAATAATCCTTTGTTTTCTATTCTCCACTTACTTATCTTATGTTTAGTATCCAGTGAAATTTTAGATGTTATTCTATTAGAATAGAAAAAGATTGATCCATTCTATGACATTTCAATCTCACAAGAGTGACCTAGTGACACCGCTCGAATTTGGCTTGAAAAAAAAAGAAGGGATAAAGTAAAATAATCTTCTTCACAATATACATACTATGACTAGGAATGCGGTACAAATAATTCCCGATATCGACATCTGGAATAGAAACAAGCAAAAAGCTTTTCATAATTTTTGATCATACATAACATATACAGAACATAATTGAATTCCCAAAACAAGAATTTGATTCTTTTTACGAACTTGATATTGGAAATCCGAGAATCTAGAAATTCATTTCGGACAATTGAACCTTCTCAAACTGTTTCTTCTTAAGAACCAAAAATATTTGTGCCAAAATAACAGATGCCAAGAAGAACAAAAGGCCTTGGACACGGAATGGATCTTGAAGTACTATTTCCGCATCCCCTTGACCAAATCCACCCACATTAGGATTACTCGTTAATGGCTGATCAACTTTGATAGATTCGCCTTCGGAAACAAGAAGTTCTGGCCCTGGGGGGATAATATCAACCACTTGACGTTCATCTGACGCATCCGATATGGTTATTTCGTACCCCCCTTTTTCTTTTCGTATGATTTTACTTACTACACCAGCCGCTGTAGCATTATAAACTGTATTGTTACTCTTGCTCCCATCGGGATAAATCTGACCCCTTCCTCTGTTCCCACCTACATATATGGGATATTTTAAGAAGTGAACATCTTTATTAGTAGCGGGGTCCGGGGAAAGAATAGGAAAGGTGACTTCACTATATTTCTGACCAGAAACAGGACCTATCACAAGAATATTTTTTTTAGTGGGGCGATAGCTCTGAAAAGACAGATTTCCTATCTTTTCTTTCATCTCGGGCGAAATACGATCGGGGGGGGCTAATTCAAATCCCTCAGGTAAAATAAGAACAGTCCCCACATTCAAACCTCCCCTTTTACCATTAGCAAGAACTTGTTTAACTTGCATATCATAAGGAATTCGAACAACCGCTTCAAATACAGTATCAGGAAGTACCGCTTGCGGAACCTCAATATCCACGGGCTTATTAGCTAAATGGCAATTGGCACATACAATACGCCCGGTCGCTTCTCGTGGATTTTCATAACCCTGCTGTGCAAAAATGGGATATGCATTGGAAATGGATGTCCGAGTTATGATATATATCATTAGCGATACGGAAATAGATCGAATAATCTCTTTCTTTATCCAAGAAAAGGTGTTTTTAGTTTGCATGGTCCAATCATTGATCCCGAAAATTTCTACAATAAAATTAGGTAGGTCGCTTGTATAGTTCCCTATCCACAATTCTGCTATTTACTGTACTGAAATCATTTTACTGGAATATAGGAGTAGGAGAAATCCCTGTAGGGTAGAAAGAGTAAGTACGTCTTAAAATTGAAATGCTTTGCTTATGTACCTTATGTTACAAAGTAACAAATATTATAGTTGGATCAGTCATTCATTGAATGATAAATCACTACAAGTGATGGAGATACACGATTTAAATACCGGAAGATCCAATATTTAAAAATTGTATCCAGAATGACTGGAAAAGTAGAAACAAGACCAGATATAATTTGATCGTTGTGAGCAAATCCAAAATCTTTGTAGACATAGCCAATCATTAGTTCCCAACCATGGGGCGAATGGAATCCGATACATAAATCAGTTAATAAAAGAATAGAAAAAGCTTTTATTGTGTCACTTAAGTTATATAGGAATTCTTGAACCCAAGAGTTAAGAATAGCAAGTTCTTCATTACCCAGAATAGAATAACCACTTAAAATAATGAAAGAGGTTATATTTGTCGATAAGTGCAAAATCATATGGATATGATCCTCATTGTGCATCTTGATCAATTGGATCGTTTCTTTGTGAATTCCTATACGAAGTGTTTGTAGATGTGTTTCCGGGTATTCTTTTATCATTTCGTCCAAGAGTAAGAGTTCTTCCAATTCTATGAATTTTTCTAGAATACTCTTTTCTTGAATATCAGTCAAAAAAGTTTCGGATTGCCTAGTATTCCACCAATTAGTAATCCAAAATTCAAGACATTTATTAAATGAGAGAGAGATCCACCAGGGCAAAAATACTCTAGATGTAAGATATAGAAGAGGAAGAAATGCTTTCTTTTTTGCCATTTTTTCATCTTTGAATTGTTAATGAACCCACCTCATTTGTTGAATCTATGTGATCTACTATTTCTATTAACCCTAAGTTCTATTCCAAGGCATCGGACCTATGAATCTATTCCCTGTTTTTTATTTGTGATTTAGTAATGAGTCCTTGAATTTAGAAAGAATACAGAAATAGAATAAGAGCCCGTTTCGAATGAAGAAATAAGAAAAAATATTGTTTCCAGATACCTCAATTGAATTGATCAAATTCGAAGCCCTTTTCGATGAATGCTTGAAAGAACCAACCAATTCAAGCAAGTAATGAATATTATTCGGATTTCAAGCCAAAAGAACTCCCCTTGTCCTTTCTATCAAAAAAGAAAATCTTTCGAAAAAAAAATGGCCGGCTACCCACAGTTATAGTCCAGGAAAAATGGAGCGAGATTTATGAAGAATATTCTGATCTAACGATCACAAATTCAAAAACTAATGATCAAAAATGAGTGGCAAAACAAGACAGAAAAGTTATCCTTATAAGAGATACAAGCAGTCCTTTGCCTTTGATCATTAAGAAACACAAAAGAAAAGATAAAAAAAAAAGAAAGGTCGATTGACAAAAGAAAGGAGAGAGCATTTACAAGATATGATCTATTTGTATCTAACCTATCAATTCATATTGAAAATAAAAAGAGAAATCCTTTATTCCGAAATGTTTTGATATACGAGATGAATCTATTATTTTATTTCGATTTGTTACTTTTACTTGTTTTTTACTGAATTGAGTTGAGTGGATTTCCATACGCATAAATCATTTTTTATGCGGACAAAAAAAGTTTCGTTTTATGGATGTTCCATATACGTCTACTTTGGATCGAATGAACGTTCTGAAAAAACTTTATTAAGCTATGCTATGCTGAAGAAAGAAAAGAGAATTCTTGAATTTTTTCCCTGCCGATGGGAAAGAATTTCTTCTTCAGTTCAAGTTCATTTCAAAATACTTCAATCGGTACGCGCAAGAAATAGGCCAATTCGGCGGCTTTTTGCTCAATTTCACGCGGAGTCAAATTCTCATCAGTACGCGTCAAGGGAACGGCCCCCTGTCCTTTGATTTCCATATAAAGGACACGACGAGCATAAATACCCTCTTTAACTTCTATTCGGATGGACTGAATATCTTTCATACGAAATCGTAGGAAGATGCGACGATTTTTTCCAGGAAATCCCCAACGAAAAATACACACTATTCCTTCTTTTCTATCGAATCGATCATAGCCACTACCTACATTCCACGAAATTGTGCACCACAAATAGGAACTAATAAAGAGACCTGCGATACCGTAGAAAGACATCACGATCCCTTGTGGAAAAAAAAGAATTTGTTGAGAGGGAACTAAAGATATCAAATTCTTACCGAGATAACTGGAAGATCCAACTAATACGAATCCTAGTGAACCTAAAAAAAGGATAAAGGCCCAGCAGAAATTACTTATTTTTCGAGACCCCACTATAAGTTCTATCCATATATGTTCTGATCGCCAACTCATACTAGATCCAGTTGCATTTTATTGGAATTGAGAAAATAGTCCAAATGAATTTGACTTTCCTTTTTTTGTTTCCGAAGTAACTCTCATCAACTAGCATCATTCGAATGTAACCCTTTAGGAGTAATTCATCTAATTGGTTAGATCCAATTGGTTAGGTCTAAAATAAGAATATCCCTTTTCTATGATCTCCTATAGATATCCACATATAGATACATTGACTTTACATTTCATACATCCACCTCGATTCCGATCTATTTGAAAATTGCTATAATTTATTTACCCATATATTTACGCATACATAAGATCTATGTTCGGAGGAAACCGCCATATTCTACTACTACTAAATAGATATCTGTGTTATCTATATCTAAGTCTTGAAAAAAAATAGATAAGATTTGCACCTATCGAATCTAAAAAATCTTGTTTTTTTGAACATGAAGAGATAAAGAAGCCATTGCAATTGCCGGAAATACTAGGCCCACTAAAGGCACAAAGAGAGAGGGTAAGTTGTTAAGAGTTGTCATAGAATGGGTACCTCGATTTAATATTTGTACCTGTTATTGTTAGAAAGATATCTTAGAATAATTCTAATTCGTATATAATTAGATTGAGTATATCTAAGTGAGTATATATATTAAATAATAAGTGCAAGGAATAGATAATTAAATAAATGAGACTTATTCTTCTTTATCTTTCTACATGAAATATAGAAATATACGTATGATAATCTATTCTATTCTTGTCTTAAAATTAGAATTGAATTCTCATTTTTATTTTATTTAATAAATAAAGAGTTTCTTACAAATTCCCGAAGGATTCGTTAGAATTCAATCCAACAACAGGATTCTTAGTAAAAATAGAGATTCTCGGAAGATAGAGTAGAAAGAAAAGATACTCTATATCTATATTTTCTATATTTGAATTATATATACTATACATACGAAGCAAGAAGGAAAGATGACCTTAGGTTTATTTTATTTGCCTTGCCCAATTTGAATTTCGAAGAAGGAACCATTTTTTTTATCTTGTTGATAGAGATAGAGGTTTCCTAATTAATAATCAGTAATATCGGTATAAAAAAAAGAATTATCCGCACGATTCTTTATACAATTTACAATTAAATATTATGATTATGTCACCAAAGAAAAAAGAAATTCTTCCTTAGAATTTTTACTTTGATTCCGATAAACTATCTAATTGTTCGCTACAAATACAAAAATGTAACTAAATTAAATAAAAATAATTTGACTTAAGGCTCTACTTAACTTAATAAGTGAATTTTAATTCAAAGGAAAAAAAGCGTGAAGCTTAAATAACTCACTCAGAACACCCTTTAAAGGATTACGTGGTACAATTGGATCGAATAAGCCCTTATCAAATAAATATTCAGCCGCTTGTGAACCTTCAGGTACTATCTTATTCAATGTTTGTTCAATTACTCTTTTACCTGCGAATGCAATATAAGCATTCGGTTCGGCAATAATGATATCCCCCAACATCCCAAAACTAGCCGTTACCCCACCAGTAGTAGGAGATGTAAGGATTGATACATAGAATAACTTTTTATGGGATTGATAATCATATAAAGCAGCAGATATTTTAGCCATTTGCATCAAGCTCAAGCTTCCTTCTTGCATACGTGCTCCTCCGGAAGAACACACTAGAATCAGAGGTAAAAATTTATTGGTAGCGTACTCGATCAAACGGGTGATTTTCTCGCCTACTACGGATCCCATACTACCCCCCATAAACTGAAAATCCATAACTCCAATTGCTATGGGAATACCGTTTAGTCGACCTGTGCCTGTTTGAACAGCATCGGTTAATCCTGTCTTTCTTTGATAAGAATCAATACGATCTTTATAAGGTTCCTCCTCCGAATGAAATTCAATAGGATCCAGAGAAACCATGTCTTCATCCATAGGATCCCAAGTACCTGGATCAATCGAAAGCTCGATTCGATCTGAACTACTCATTTTCAAATGATATCCACATTGGTCACAAATATTCATTTTGGACTTCAAAAGTTTCTTATAATTTAATCCATAACAATTTTCGCATTGAACCCACAAATGCCTATATTTTTGAGTCAAATCGAAATCAGTAGAATTTTCTCTTCGAGTGAAATCAATACCATTCCTGCTAGTTCTTATACTGGAGCTCCCACTATTTCTACTTTCACCATAAATGGAACTATAAATGTAACTGTCACTGGAATTGTCACTACTACTTAAAAAGGAACTCTCAATACAAATTTGAGAACCAAGATAAGAGTTAATGCACCTAGTAATGTGATTATTCCAACTGTATTTAGTATCATACATGGAATGATCACAGGGCGGATCGTCATTCTTCGATCCATTCTTCAGATAAGCATAAGTCCAATAACTAAAAAAAGAACTTTCTCGTTCACTCAGTAAAGAAGGATCATTGTCAATCTCAAAAATTTGATTAGTAATATCAAAATATATGGAATAAATATTCCTATTACTATCTCTAACTAAAAAGGTGTCATCAGAGATAAAATTACGAACGTCCCTGACACCCACTAAATGATTAGCATTACTGTAACTAGAACTTTCACTCCAACTATGAATCTTTTTATCCATATCGTTTATAACCGGATCCTCACTTACACTGGTTTTTTCAATAGGATCACCAAACCTATCGATTGATTTACTTAGCCCACACCTGTATTCTAATTTTCCTTTATACAACATCGAATTGAACCACCATTTTTCCATAGAACTTTCTTGCCCCTATTTACGTGAAAATACAATAGATGAATAGTCATTCGATGAAAAATCATTTGAATATTTCATTTTATATTTTATATCGGAATAAGCATAGAGATCCAATCACTAGATCATTAACTAATAAAATAAGGAATGAGTTTTGAAAAAAGGATTTTCTTTTGTTTTGTGAGAACCCGGAGTATTACTTCACTATAACTATATAGTTATGATGGAACTCTTTTTTATTATAGAATATTCTAAATATTTTTTTTGAATTCGAAATTGAAATAGCGATTTCCTTCATCTTGTGTCAAATTCGCATCGAAAAAAAAGAAATATTTGTTCTCTTTTATCAATAACTTTTTTCGTAAAATCTCGTCTATTCCAACACGGAACGAAAAGGACAATATACAGGATGGGTAGAAAAGGTTGTGATACTTGACTCCATTCATGATCCGAAACTAAGGGATTAAAAGAATACACCAATCCTAAAGATCCATAAGATTAATTGTGGATCCAACACAACAAACAAGAACAAACAATAGAAGCATTTGAATTGTTTATTTAGTTATGTTTTTTTTTAT